GATTATTCCTATATAAAATACATTTAGAAGTCAATGTCAGACAGAAGGAGGCATGGCAGCTTCTGGAGGTTGGTATTATGGTTTGCATCCCCTCCATATGCCAAAAGCTTATAATGAAATGTAACATAATGCAAATGCATAAAAAGTAAAAATTTAAGAGGCAATCAGGACATGTTGACACCATCTTCATTCAATGCCTCCTCCCAGGAGTAGCTTAATTGCTACGGGGTAGCCTTTGGTAAAAAGCAGTTCAGCCCTATTTATTTTTTTAATATACTTCCATATGGGCCACCCTCCACCATATTATAACCCAGCCAGGGTTGTTGGTGGAAGCTGCCACCATGTTTTAGCACTTGCTGGTTTTCAGATACATAGGAAGGAAAACTCTGCTCTTTGTAAATTATTAGCCAGTCAAAAACGTCATTACAGTAACAGAAAATTGATGTTATTAACAACTTTTTCCCATCATGGTGGCCAATGGCTGCTGCCTTGACAGCTGTATGGAAATATTTTAATTTATAGGATCATCTCCATCACTTGGAGATATACACCAAGACCCCAATAGCTGCCTGACACTGGATAGTATTGAACCTGCACCTTACTGTCTTTCCTGTCTCAGCTAAGCACTTACCATGGAGATGAACGTTTTTCAGTCTTGACAGTAATCATGTCTTTCTTTTTCCCTTTCCACAAATTGACTGAGAGAATACCCATTCCCATAGCAGTCAGTTTCAGAACCTACCTCTTTTCTCTCCTTACTAAATCAGTAATATTTTCCTTTTCACTTCAAGGAAGCACTTCTCAACTTCTTTTGGCATCCCCTAATCACCTTCATAACTACTTGCACACCATGAGGCCAGGGTCAAGTGTGATGATGGTGAAATTTGAACCCTTGTGCACTGCACAAGAAGTGTGCTATGCAACAGTCTGTTTGACACACCAGATGGCTCTGAAGAGACCGGTGTACAAACTGGATATGCACTGTGGACACACTGGACATAAGGATGGCTCATGTCCTAGGTGCAGTGGAGGGGGATACGGTATGTGAGTTGACGGTGCTGCTCAGGAAGCTGTGCAGTTTAACAGTTACAAGTGTCTATTTAATTTAATGCTTTCAGAGCACAGGTGGCTGAGGATAGCTGAAACCATAGGAAGTGCAGCCTTGGGGAAAGAGGGAATGTCTACAGCAAAGCATCTTTGGGGTGTCAAAGCCACAGTAGACCATACATGTGTCAATGTCGCACACATGTGTCACCCCTGTTGTTACTTATAGAATCTTACTGACAATTCATTTAAACCTTTCTTTTTTCTTTTTAGATTTAAGATGTCGTCTTGGCAGATGGACTGCAAAGACAGTCGATGATAGTTGGGTTTGCAGAATTAATTCAGGAGCATGTGGCCTTGGTTTCTCTCTCTCTCTCTCTCTCTCTCTCTCTCTCTCTCTCTCTCTCTCTCAGCTCAAGCATCCCAGTTGTTGCTCAAACTAATTTCCCCTTTACCATACCTCTCTAACACTACCCAGTTTTCCACTGGTCTTCCCACCCTCTGGTCACTCCTAGTCACTGAGTGCTTGGTAATTCCTTGTCTTCTATAAGACTATAAGAAGAGTGCCTTCTATTCCTTGTCACCATTTTATGTTTTAGGAGGAACTAAAATGTACTGGGAAATTGGCAAGAATTCCAGCTCGGAAAGGCCAGCCCCCAGTCAATCAGTCAAATCAGTCACTCAATCAATTTATCTATTAATTGATGGGTATAGCTATAATATGGAAATGAGGTCAATTCACCAGAACCAAACTGTGAACCTGATGGTTCTGTTAAATTCCAATGCAGGCTACTCTCAAAGTAAAATCAGAACTAAGACTGATTTGGATTTTTCAATGAGGTAATTTGAAAACTATCTTTTGTAATATCAGAGAATTACTACATTGTCTTCCATGCCCCCGCCTCACTACACACACAGGTGCACTCAAACACAGACACCTATAAAAGAATAACAAACTCTTCATGAATTAAAGCAATGCATATTCTCAGACATACCACATGTAAGGCTCCTTATCAAACCCAACCAACAAAGACTTTACGCAGACGTAGTCATCTTTAGCCAAATTCCCAGTTGGTTTTTCTTATGGTTAGAGCATGCACTTAGGCACTGAGAGGTTCACAACAGAACTTTCTCTTTAACAGGCACAAAACCAAGCTAACAAAATATGGAAGGAAGTAGAAGATATTTATTTTCTTCCAACAATAAGAAAGCATACATTCCAACAAACTGAAAACTGAGCTCACACCCTTCATATCTAAAGTACCATATTACTTTGGCTTGCAATTATATCTACTAGTATAGAAGATTTATTGAACCTATATTATTTGAACAGGATCAAGAAGGCTGGATATTATTTCATGTTTTTAAACCATGAGAAAAAATAGTGCCTGGGGGTTTCCTGTTCAACTAGGAAAATTACAGCTTCATGCTTGCAGCACTAGACTAACAAACACAGTGGTGGTGTCCCCACCAACCCCGTGGTTCGGCAGTGTATAATAGTGTATAATTCCAGCAGAAATGCTCACACAGAGCTGAATGTAACCAACATCATCTCAAAAAAAAAAAAAAGATGGGAGAGAAATTTATTTTGGCTAGATCTGACTTGCAAAAGAGAGGGTACTTTTGCAGAGTAATTTGACAAACATCTCTGAGAATTTGAGAATGTAACTGGGGATTATGGAGTTGGCAGCTTTCATTTCTCGAGTTATTGAAACCCTGCAGAAGAGTTACAGTCACAATGTATGAAGCCACAGAGGCAACAGGAGAGTCAGGCTATATTCATGCGACTCACTGGGGCTAATTTTCATATCAGATAGAATTACTTTCCATAGAGAAAGAAACAATTGTATTGGAAAATAAAGATAAATAGGCAACATTTCTCTGGAGGGGAGCACAAGGTCCATTTTACTTTCCTTAGCTACAAAGTCTCTAGTGAACCATGTACTCATATACAAAATAAAAAAATTAAGTCCATTCTCCCCTTCTATAAGAGGGTCCCAATGGCAAGCTGGGGTGTCTGCAAATGGCTGTTCTCTTCCCAAATCGCTACTTTGACTTAAAAACATTAGAGTCTAGACATGGATTTCTACCTACTAGTGTTAGAAACCCTCAGGTTTCTCACTGTAGGTGGGTGGCAGTGAGTGGGGCCTGGACCACTATGCCGATGGACCCTCTGATTTGAGTCACAGATTGTTGTGTGCATTTGTGGCAATATGCAATGAGCAGGTATCTCCTCTGATCTCCTATACCTTTTAAATAGATGGATAGAAGATAGCACTAAACCAATCCATGAGTTCTTCAGGTTGCCCAAAGAAGCTACAAGCCAGGCATGTAGCTCTTGAGGGGCTGGCCACATATTCCAACACATCTCTTATTTCCCTGTACAGGTCCAGTGTGGCAACTGGCATGACCACAGGCTGCTAAAGAGAACAGCAACAACAATGCTGACCCCTACCCCAGCCTCTACAATAATTTACTACTTAATATTTTTGTGGGTATTTTGCCTGCATGTATATCTGTGCATCATGTGACTGCCAGGTGCCTTAGGCTGACAGGTAAAGGGGACATCAGATTCCTTGGAACTAGAATTATGGATGGCTGTGACCCACCATGTGGGTGCTGAGAACAGAACATAGGTCCTTTGGGGGAGTAGCCAGTAGTCTTAACCTCTGAGCCATCTCTCTAGCTCCTGCTCCTGTTTGACTGCTATCTCACCAAGTCACCTTTGGCCCTGCCCACATTTATTAATATTTTAATAAATGCTGGATGTAAACAGGCAGGACCCACATTGATAATCTGTAAAAATAGAAAAGGACCTAGCAGAAAATGTTCTTAGGCCATTGCCCTGTTTTGTTTTCTGTATATGTATTTAGTATGTATGACTATTTTATATATATGTAGTTTATGTGTGTGATTTTTTGCCTGCACAAATGTATGTGTACTATATACACGCCCGCTGCCCACAGAGGCCAGAGTAGAGTGTAGCATCCACTGGAACTGGAGTAACAGACAGTTGGGAGCTACCATGTGGATTCTGGGAAGGAAACCTTGGTCCTCTGCAAGAGCAGCAAGTGCTCTTAGCCACCGAGCCTTCTCTCCATGCCCAGATGAAAATGTTGATGCAGAGGTGTGGAGTATGTCCTCATTTGTTTCAGCTGCCAACTTGACACAGCCTGTAGTCATCTGAGAGGGTCTCAAAGGAGGGATTGTGGGTATCAGAGGGGCCCGTGGCCAAGTCTGTGTGAGCGAGCTAGTTTTGATTACTGATTGATGGAGGAGTGCTCAGCCCATTGTATGAGGCACTGTCCAAGGCAGGTGGCCTGGTGGTGTATAAAAAAGCTTGCTGAACATGAGCCACAGTCAGGGAGCAGAATTCCTGCGGGGGTTTCTGCTTCCGGTTCCTGCCTTGACTTCCTTCAGTGATTAAAATGAAATCGGTTATTTATCAAAACAATAGAAAACAAAACAGGGCAAGCCACCACATAAGAATATTTTCTTCTAGGTCTCTTTCTATTTCGACAGATTGCCATTTTGGATACTGGCTGTTTACATCCAGTATTTATTTTAATGTTGCTGTGGGCGGGGCCTTGGATGATCTGCGGTCAAACAGGAAGGAAACAGTTCACAAGGAAAGCAGTCCCAGTACAACCTGGCACCTCTTCTGGAAGCCTTCACTGAAAGGGGCCTGAGGAGTCTTAATGGTACACCCTGTCCTCCGCACACAGATTTGTCACCCCATTTTGAAATGGCAGGGTAGAGGGTCCCTTCCTGTCTTGTTTTTGCTTCTGGTGCTGCAAATTAAACCCAGGGCCTCCCTCAGCCCTACCACAGACCTGTAGCCCCATTCCTCTAGTTCACTCTTTTGTCGAGCACCTGGAAGATCCGAGAGAGCAGTACTGAGCAGAGAGTGCTCCAGGCTCCCTGGACTGAAGGGACTTGAGAGGCAGGGCGCTCACCTGGTTCAAGTGTGCAGCTATGAGCGAGGGTTCCCATATCTTATAGTTTGTGCTCCCGGTAGGTTTCTCCTTCTTGGGTGCCATGCGAAGGATGGGAGGTTCATTGGCCTCAAAACTGGGCTGAGGCCAGGCCTGAGCGTCCCTGAAGTCTTGGTAACCGAGACCACGCCCAGTTCCTGAACGGATCCCGCTCCCTTCCCCCAAACCGGTTTCTGACCCTCAAGTCAACCGCTTCCCCGTTTCCATAGTAGCAGAGCCGCTAGGTGCCCAACTCCAGAAATCCCAGGGTAAATCTGATGATTTTCCAGCGGGACTAGCTGGCTCACTAACTTCTTTTTATCATTTCCACTTTGTTTCTCTTGGGAGCAAAGTCTAGTTTGAATAAACAATGTGTAGAAACTCAAAATTACTCATCCAGGCTTCCCGCCCTAAGTTTCCTTTGGTGCTGCCAACCTAGCATTGAGAAAGAGAACCTAGTCAGCCTAGGTGTTTTTCAACCTCTAATCTCCAGGACACTTCCTTACAGGGAGAAGACTTACTCCTCTTCACCTCACCTCTTGTCTCTGTATTTCTCTCTCTGCCTAAACATTTCCAGTTTTTTAAAAGCAGTAGTTCTTAACCTTCCTAATGCTCTGACTCAACACAGTCCCTCATGTTGTAGTGACCCCCCAACATAGATTATTTTTGCTGCTACTTCATAACTGTAATGTTGCTAATGGTACAAACCATAATATAAATCTTTTTAGAAATACAGCTTTACCAAGGGGGTGGTGACCCACAAGTTTAGGACCCATGCTTTAAAGGGTGTCCCATTGGCAAACAGATCCCCCTGTTCCACCCCAAACTCATCTAAGATATCACAGTTAGAGTGAGTCTGCGAAATGATGATAATCATATCACAACTGTGGGTTTGTGCTGTGAATTGAACCCAGGTCCTCTGAAAGAGCAGCGAGCATGCTTTAGCACTGAGCTACCTAATCTTACTTTATTTTTGTGTGTACTTGTTCGTGTGTGTGTGTGAAAGTAGGTATACATGAAACAGGGTATGCATGCATGTGGAGGCCAGGGACCCACCTCAGGTGTTTTTCTTCAGGCACCATCTACCTTGCTTGTTTAGACAGGTCTTTTAGGAGTTCAGGGCTTGGTGAATAGATTAGTCTGGCAGTGAGCCTGAGGCATGCAATATGCCCATTTGCATCTCCCCAGGGCTAGGAATACAGGCACCTATCTTCTCAGCCGGCTATTTAATGTGGATTCCTGGGACTGGATTGAACTCAGGTGTTCATGCTTACGTGGCGGTCACTTTACCAACTGTGCTATTTCCTTGGTCCTACTTATTTAACTTTTCTTACATTTCCTAGGGACAAATGAGGACATCCAGAAGCAGATCTCAACCAAGGTACTTTTCTGTCTCCGCAGTCTGTATAAAGCATGGAGCTGAGCCATGCTCGTTCATCACCAAGCTTGCCCATCGCCAAGCCACTCCTGGTGTCTAGAGTGGTTTTATTACCTCAACCAGCCAAGGGTGACAGCAAGGGTGCCTTGCTTGTGACCTGCAGCTGTGCTCTGTCCAGCACAACCTATGTGACTGACGCTTTTCACATTGAAGAAATCTTCTGATGCTGCCTTCGAGAAAGAGATCATAAGTGCTGGGGCCATGGAGTGAACACTTGGTATGAGTTCAGAATTCCCATGGCTTCCAAAGCCTCTTTGTTGAGGCTTTGGTTTCCAGACGGTGGTGCTATTGAGAGGGGGTAAGAAGTGAGGAGGTGGAGCCTTTGGGCATGGGTTATTGGGACCTGGTCTTCTTCCTGTTTCTCATGGCTTCCTGGCCAACAAGCTAGAAGCAGAGTGTTCCAGTACCTGCATCCAGCAGCCATATTTTCCCACCTTGTCATAGGCTGAAAATAACTGGCCCAAGTGACCAGAAAGTTTCTGATACCATGTGGTAAATAAATCCCTCCTTCCTAAAGGTTGCTTATCTCAACAGAGATATCTTATCACAGAGATCAGAAGCTGGCCTGGTCAGTGGTAATTGCTGATCCTTGTTGTCCTACTTCAGGTTTGAGTATGGTGTTTCTTTTTAAATTTTGTTCATAATTTGTACTACTTGAAGAAAGTAATCCCCTCCTTTTTGATACAGATATTGAAGAAAAAGCAATTCTCTAAACAAACTTTCACAATTAAAAGACTGTACTTATAGTATTTATAATATGCATACTTTATAATATAGTATTAATTAGAAATATAGTAAAATGCATCTATAATATAGTATTTGTAATATGTATACTTTATTTTTTGGGAGGGGGTTTATATCAATCTCTATGACATTTATGGACTCCATAACTACTGGAAATCTTTCCTTCTTTCTCTCTCTCTCTCTCTCTCTCTCTTTATTTGTTATAGGAATACAATGACTGAGGAATGGCGATGTCAGAGAAATTTTCTAGAGGAGAGTTTTCATGAGGATCTCCATGGCAACTAATGAGTGTCCCATTCATTCTCATGGCCCTTTTTTTAGCACTTTCTTCTTCATCAACTTTTTCGTAATGTTATAGGATAAATAGTCTTTTTTGTATAATTGCTTAAAAGTAAGGGTGGATCTCTTACCAACTGATGACATCACTCTAAATTTTGGTCATATTTCTTCTAGTTGAAGCTGCTTGGAGAACTGTGCTTTTATGAGTGAAGTAATAAAAACATTTATTGGCATTTAAGTTCATGTTCCATTTAAAAATTAACTACTGTTTACGTGTCATGTTTTATTGCTAATTGCATTTCTTCTCTAGTGTGAGTTCACACACACAAGGTAAAGCTCCTCCCTGCAGCCTTCCAGCCAGGTCATTAGCAGATGATTAACAACATAGCTTCCACATAAGAGAGGGGAGCAAGGAGAGAAAAATGGAAACGGAGACTTCACAACTAAAAGTGTTAGTTTTAAGTTGTAAAGAAACCATCAGTAGCTTTTTCTAACAAGTGATAACTATACAAAAAAAATATTTTATGGATGTGAATGGTTTGCCAGAATGATGTTGAGTACACCACATTTATTCCTGGTGCCCGGAGAGGTCAGAAGACAGCATCAGATCCCCTGGAACTGTAATTGAGGATGATTGTGATCTGCCAGGTAGTTGCTGAGATTTGAACTCCTGTCTTTTTGCAAGGGCAACACATGCTTCTGACTGCTGAGCCACTTGCTGGCTACAACTGTAATTTTAGCAGCAATTAAGTATTTGTAATGTTTATCAGCTTAAAACTGTTTTTCAGGAAGCATCTCCTTTTCTTTCTTTCCACTGTAAGGGATGGATTTTCTAGCCTCCTTTATTCTTACCTATGAAAAGGTGACTGAGTTCTTGCCAACAGGAGGTAGTAGTAGAATTAGAATGTGGGCTTGACCCTTAAAACCATTTCCTGTGTGTGGTTCAGACTCATCTCCCATCTGTCTAGATATTATGGCACTTGACTATCTGAGTGATTGCTAAGGTACAGAGGTCTCTCCCAACCTTTTCCACACCTAACAAATTTGCCTAGGCTAGTAAGTGGATGAGAAATGACTTCTCTTTAAGCTTGGAAAACACTAGGTCTACAGCCACTGGGCTTTTGCTAACCATCTCATTAGCTCTACCTCCATTTCTGTTGCTGTGGGAAAACACCTTGACATAAGACAACCTAGAGAATAATAGGGTGAATCTCAGCTTATAACCCCAGGTCACAGTTTGTTACTGAGAAGTCAGAGCCAGAATGTAAGACATCATATCCAGTCAAGAGCAGATAGAGAAACAGATATGTTGGTCTTTGTTGGCTTGTTGCTTCATTCTTGGCTCACCCTCTCTGCTCTCCTATAGTTCAAGGCCCAGCCCATGTAAAGAGACTGCCTATATTCAGAGTTGATTTTCCCATTTTAATAAACAATCAAGACAATCTGCCACAGATATGCCTATAGGCCAATGTGATCGAGATAACTGAAATCTCTATTGAGATCCTCTTCCTATATGATTTTAAGGTTCTGATAAACTCACATCTAAAACTAACCATGATACCATCCTAATGATTTTCGATATTTTCATTGAGAGTCTAACAGTAGTAGCTTTTCTGAAGCAGCCTGAGGAAGCAATTTTGCTTCTTTCAAGTAGACAGTGGGCAATGCCAGCTACCATGCTAGATAGAAAGTCTAGTGTTACTCCTCTAGGCTTGGTCCCATCTCTACTGCACCTTTCACTAGCTCGGAGAGGACATCCATTGGCTTCTTTATGCATTGATACATTTCTTACTTTCAATAACTGGTGGGCAACAAACTTGTGGACATTATGTCACATACATCCGGGACAGTTTGACACTTTTTGAAAAAAGAATACTAACTGATATTCATTGTCTATCTATCTATCTATCTATCTATCTATCTATCTATCTATCTATTATAATTTTGCTAACATCTTAGAGGAACTGGGCATTTTAAAAATCCAAGTACATATTTCAGGCTGGAAGAACACACTTCTAGTGGAATCTTTTATGGTAAAGTGCTACCAGAACAAACTGCAATGTGGAAGGTTTTCTAAAATTGACTTAAGGAATCCCAGAGGGTTTTACTGTAGAATGCCTTTTGGTCAGTCTTGGCCCCCTGCATTATTTTAGGGCAAGTGGCATTCTAGATAATTCATGGTGCAGACTTGGAAGACATGCGATGATAACCAAATTTATAGACGATTTCATCATGGAATTGGTCTGTTTAATTTAAGAAAATAGGTGTGAATGACGATGGCCATAGTTTTAAGTACCAACGGCTATTCAGCCAATAGGAGGCTTTGCCAAAAAAAGAAGCATTCCATCTGCCATACATGTATGAATTGGTATAATAAATTGTCTCCCCCACTAAATATAAGTTGAAAAATTTCAAGCATATACTTTACTACATAAGATTTCCCACATGGCAGTGGCTAAATCAAAATTCTACTGTTTGGAGAATTTTCTCTCATTGGCAGGGGTGTGCTTGGCTTGTTTGATTTAGTGTTTCCAGTAAGATTTTACATTTAATATGTTTAAAGGACAGCTTACTTTCAGGCTGGGCTGTTTCTTTAGGGTACTGG